AGGGAAAACTGAGTTGAGGAGAAGGAGAAGGTCATTGGAAGAGTGGCCAATAATTGTGGTGTCATCTGCATATGCTCGGAAAGTAAGAGTAGGAATAGACATAATAAGGTTGAAAAGGGGTTGTATGGAGAGATTGAATAAAAGAGGGGCAAGAGGGTCCCCTTGGGGAACACCTTGAAGAACAGAGAAAGGGGTACTTAAGAAATTGTTAATTTTTATCAAAGTGATACGGTTGTGATATGAACAGTGTGTGAGATGAATGAAGGATGAAGGGAAAGAGGATTGTTGTAAGATGAAATCTAGCCAAGCATGGGAAACACGGTCATATGCCTTTGACCAGTCAACAGAGAGGACAAAGGCTTCAGGTGGGGGATTTGGTAAAGAAAGGTAGGAATTAATGTCAAGAATTGTGTCATATATGTTTCTTGATTTCATAAATCCTGTTTGGAAATGGTGAATTAAAGAATGTGCATGTGATTGAAAATGAGAGGCTAAAATAGAGGAAAGAAGCTTAATGTCAGTGTTGGATAGTGTTATAGGTCGTAGATTTGAAATGTAATGAGGGTCAGTGTCTTTCTTATGTAAAAGAATGGTGGTAGTTTGTGACCAGGATAATGGAGGGGGGGAGCCATTAGCTATCATATTAAAGATAGGAAGGAGAATGTTGCATATTAAAGTAGGAAAAAGCTTATAAAACTTATATGGAATGCCATCAGGTCCAGGGGAAGAATGATCTTCTTTGGACTTGATTGCATCATATAGTTCTTGTGGAGAAATTGGGGATTCAAGAGAGGAAACAGAAGAAGAGGGAAGTTTTGGAATATATGAGAAAAGAGGAGAAGAAGAAGGAAGAGGAGGAGGATTTGACCATAATGAAGAAAAATGGGATTGAGCATGATTAAGGATTTGATGAATATTGTTTGAAAGAGTTGGAGGGTTGGATGAATTAGGGGAGCTAATATAAAGTTCATCTATGTTCATATTGGATTGTCTTGTCTTATTATTATAGCGACTAAAGAAATAGGATGTGGGTTTTTCACCTTGCTCATACCATAATGTTTTGGATCTTATAGAAAGGGAGACAAGTTTTTTGTGTTCTAGTTTAGCAAGGGAATCTTTCAGATGAGAATTAAGGATTGTGTCAGGATGATTGGAATTTTCTAGCTTATGAATACGATTTGTGAGGTTCTTAATAGCTGATCTGGTTTTCTTTGTATAGGAGGAAGAAACAGAAGTCATAAAGTTCTTAATATCTTTTTTGCAATCATCCCAGTTAGAAGGAGAAGTTGGGGAAGCATAGGAAGATAAAATGGAAGAGACAGTGTTCTTAATATGAGGAATTGAAAGAAGAGATGTGTTCATATGCCATTGTGGATGGGGAATAGTTGTGGATGCTTTGAAAACTAGAGCTCGGTGGTCTGAGAGAGAACCAAGGGAAACAGTAAAAGCTGATGATGAAGAAGAGATAAAAGAAGGAGAAAGAAGGATGAAGTCAATTCGAGATTTAGAAAGGTGGTTAGGTGAGTTTCGAAAAAAAGTGAATTTAGGAGGACCAGGAAGAGATCCAGCAAAGTCAATTAAATTTGGGAAAAGAGTGGGAAAAAGATTGATATTAGGACGATTATTGTTATAGTTTGAAAAGAAAGAAACACGATCTTGGAGGTGAACTGTTGTGTTGAAATCACCACCAACTATCTGTGGAAGAGAAGATGAAATGCAAGGAAAGTTGTTCCAGAATTGCTTGTTAGATTGATCTTCTGCTGGAGCATAGACATTTCTGACTATAAAGGAAGAAGAGTTAGATGAGACTTTGATGTCTAGGATCCTTTGATCATTGGAGGTAAAGATATGATTTGCTGTAAGAGAGGGAGGGATCAAGGTGATGAGATGTTTAGTGTAAAAGAAGGAACCAGACCATAAGGATTTAAAGATGGAAATACGATAGTCATCAGGATAATGGATAGAATGAGTAAAGAATTCTTGGATAAGAATAATGGAGGGGCGGAGATGTGAGAGCTTAGATAAGAGGACAGAGAATTTATGGTGAGCAGAGAGCCCATTTGCATTGATTGAGATAATATTTAGCTTATTCATGAGAGAGATAATTAAGAGGAAAAGGAGTTAATTTTGGAAGCTGCTGTAGAATTAGAATTGGATTGAAGGTATGAATCATTGGGGGATGAAGAGTTAGTATTAGTAATAGTATCTAATTCCATATTGGAAGAGGTTTCTGAGTTGAAATCTGCAAATTCATTAATAACAGTATCAGTCTCATCAATGATTTGCAATTGGAAACCGGAAGAGTTATCATTAGAAGATAATAAGGCATTTGATTCATGGATTTGAGGTTTAGGTGAATGAATTGATGTGTGCAGGGAGTTTTGTTTGTCCAGAGCATAAGTAGTGTTTGAAGGAGAACTATCTGTTTGGGAAGGAGCATGATTGGAAATATGTTGTTGTTTGTTGGTGGTAGTGGGAGTAGAAACAATTTGAGCATATGTACGAGATGGTTTTGGTTTAGGTGGTTGTCGATGAGGACAGATTCTGTGAGTATGTTCAAGACTATGACAGTTAAGACAGATTTTTGAGGAGTCAGGCCAGGTAAGAGCTACAGAAGAATTCAAAATCATTAATTGGACAGGTATTTTGGTACTTGGATTGGGTTGAACAACAGCATCCCATTTGTTGGTTAAGAGATTGGTATCTGCAAGGACTACTGGTGCAATTTCTTTGATTTTACAGAATGGGGAAAGAGCAGATTGAATATGGTCAGTAATGGTTTTCCTATCCATTATTGGGAGACCATGAAGATGGATGACAAGGGAAGAACGTGGGAAGTTTTTAGGAGGAGTGAGGTGGATGAGCTTATCTTGGATTTTAACTGGACTGGAATTGAGATGATGCTCAAAGGTGGGTTTATCTTTAAAGGTGAGCTGAAGAAATTGATGTTGAGGTTTGAAATCAACACCAATAAGGTCATTCCTGAAGTAGTCAAGAATGTGTCTGTCTGCAATACGATTGAATTTGCGATCAATGAAGAGTGAGTTTGGTGAGTTAGTTGGTGGAGGAATTCTGCCTACAAAAGGTTTGTCTGTTAGGGTTGATCTGGTGTTCTTCCAATTGAAGATCATGAAAGAACCATCTGGGTTAACTAGAGGTTTGTTGCCATTTGGGAAAGTTTTAAAGTATTCAGGAGGAACAGTAGGAACAGTAGAAGAGGTAGAAGATGATTGAACAGGGAAACTGCTAGTAGGTTGGTTGGCTTTGGCACTAGAATAAGACATTTTGCTTTACTAAGTTGCTTGGGAAGAGTGCGAGAAGAGGGATCAGGTGATCGATCAGGTGATCGTCGAAGTACTGAGATAGAGTAGTACGATGTGATGATCATTTCGTAAAAATCCAAGTCTGAAACACTCAATTTATTTCTTATATTTTATTGGATTTTAATAGCTGCGGTAGTTAGAAATTAGT